CAAGAGCTGAACATTTTAGCTCTGGGCAAATGGTTTATTTGGAAAGGAAAACAAAAAAGAAAACAAAGTCAGCTCCAAACTAAAACATATCGTATTAATATGGTGACGCAATGCAAGAACATGTCCTTGGGCTTAGGAGTCACTCTTATTATTCCAAGACTGTACCTGCTCTTTCCAAGATGTTTCCCACGAGAGCATTCCTTGAGGGACCAGGCAGGGGAAATGTGTGAGAGGCTCAAACTATTATGCCTGCTGTGCCATCTCTGAATATTGAAAAAGTAATATGTTTTGTTCATTTTTATTCTCTTTTACAAGGCACATAAACATTTGTAAATACGTTACATTAACTTTTGGATTTTTCCTCTATCACCAAAAATATAGATATTGTTATTCTATTTTTTTGTTTTTGTTTTTGTTTTTGCATTGGCCTACCATTTATGGACTTTTCTCATGTTTATGCTTGGGTTTTCTTTGTTATTTCTTATTCTCTACCAACTTTAGAAACATTTGAATCTCTTCAAACCAGTTTCATCTCCTGGAATCACTTTTTTGTATGCTTTGTCTACACTGTAATGGGATTTTAAATTATGACTTTTTTTTTTAGTTGTTGGGGGCACTAAAACAATTTAGAGGGAGATCATGAGTCAATTGAACCTATGAGAAAATCTTTTCATTGCTCTCATAAACGACTTTTAGTTTACCTGGATTTAAAATTATTAGACACAATCTCTCCCGCCCCCAATGTCTTAGATGTAAATAAAATATTTAAAAATAAAATTTGAGCTCATCTAAGATCCTATGGAAACACAGAGAAAGAAAAGTCTCACCAACATGTGGGGCCTAGAATGCTGTAAGTGGGGTACACTTATAAAATGCTAAGGTTAATTTTTAAAGTTTAGAAATTGTAGGTTTTTCAGATATCAGAAAATAAATGATTAATGCCTCCTGTTTCTCTTTTAATCCATCATTATAAACCAACAAAGGAGAATGAACAAACAGAAACACTAATTCTATTTCACTGAGGCAGGAGAAAATAGAAAATATGAAATGGCAACAAATTTTTGGAGATAGCAGCAGCAGCAGCAGCAGCTAACTTAACGTAGCAAAAGGGGCTACAACATGATTGCATATGGACAGAATATCATGGAATGTGGAGTTGATTTGCCTTAAATCCTTGGAAAGGCTCAGAACCTGGAGGCACCAGATAACACTGGGTGCAGGGTAAGACAATAGCCCTGCTAGAGCCCCAGGATCCCTGTTTACCCTATAGAGTCAGGCCCTTAGCCCACCCCTACTACTCACCAGAAGAAACAAAAGGTTTTCCTTTGGGATATTTTATGAGAGACACTCTCCATTTGGAGACACTGGAGAGGGCAAAGGCCAACCATGGGACTGCATACTCTAGATTGAAAGGCTGACAGTGGTGATCACACTGGATATAAAAGTCTCACATCAAAGTATACAGCTCTGTGAAATTGCAGAGCATCGGGGGTATGGGAAAGGCACTAAAAACTTCCCATGGGGGAAAATACAGTTATGACTTATAGTCATTTTAATGCTTTGATCTTTAAATTTTTATCAGTTTCTGGAGTTATCTTGCTCTTTTGTTTGGAACATAATTTCCTGTTTCTTCATTTTTGTTGACTCTTTGTGTTTATCTTTGCACAGGAGGTAAAGCAAACCCCTCTCCCAGTTTTTTCAGACTGACCTTGTGTGAGAGCTGAACCTCACTGAGCAGGCTAAGCCATAGACTCTGGGTGCCTCTCAAATTCTGTGTTTGTCTAAACCACTATCTTAGTTCTTAGGGGTCCAACAGAGAAGATTTGACTGTGTTAGGTCTGTCAGCATCCCAAGACAGGAGATAAAACCAGTCCCTCAAGATGCAGCTGGAGAGCTGGTGTACTGGATATGTGTCATCACTTTCTTCTTTCTTCAGGGACAAACTTGGAACTGGTTTTATCTCCCTCTTGCTTTGTGCTTGCGGTGTAAAGGATTTGCGGCAAATACCTGCACTCAGACTGCACACTCTTAGAACTGTCTGCTTTGCTCTTCGTAACTGCCAGGGAACTACCAAATGCCATGCCAAACGCAAGCTATCAGCCCTCAGGGACAGGCAGGTTAACTGGAGGTTTGGATCTATCCCCATAGAGCCCGAGGGGAGGAGCTGTAGAAGTACCCACTCACCCACTGTTGTTAATTAAGCTCTCACAGTACTAACTAATTACTGTCACATCAGTTCCAAGGTGAAGGCTAATTAAAAGCCTGATGACATGGGCAGCAATTGGAGAAGTCAAGAAGATATGCAGTCAATCCCTTTTCAGTGCAAAACTGGGAGCTGGATATTGCTGTCTGCTAGCTCTGCTTTGAGCTAGAGGAAATAGCCACTCCTGTTTAAAATCACCTCTTTGATCTCTGTGGTCCCTGGAACTCTGGAATGGCAAATGGAGAGCCCCATCAGCTCCCAAAGCTGGGTTAATTTAAGAGTCAGTCCGTTTGATGGGAGCTATAAAAGTTGGAGCGCTTGATGTGTAGACAAACTGCTCTCAGAGAGAGAATTGAGTCTTGGGGATTTGGCAGGAAGTTTTATTAATGAACTGCCGTAACTGCCTTCCCTGCCAGTTCCAAGATACAGACTAATTAAGAGGCCTGATCCTGGTAAAGCCACTGGGAAAGTGTGTTTGTTGTCAATGCCCCCACCCCACCCCACATCCCCCAGGGGAGAAACTATTATTGCCTGCTTGTTCTGAGCTAAGTCTGGAGTTGGGATGGGGTGGGGATGGGGGTTGGTGAGTGCTCACCTGTTTGTTTAAAGCTACTTCTTTGTCCCAGAGGACTGGTAAATACAGAGTCCCAGCCATTCCCAGAGCTAGGTGATTTAGAAGACAGTCCTTCTGGTGGAAGCTGAAAGAGTTGGGAAGCTTAAAATGTGGCCCAACTTCTGGGCAGAGGTTGGAGACTTGGTTTTATAGCTGGAATAATCTGGGAAGGGAGGTCTGGGGAAATGCCCACATTCGCATTCTAGCTCCCTAAGACCTTCCTAAATCCCTGCCCCATCCACACCCAGATTAACCTTCTCCTTTTTTGCCAATACATATATGTCTCTGCTTCCATCTTTAAGTTTTCCAGTGGCTGCAGCTCCGTGCCCAACGTGGGTCTCTCATTCTGGGATCTTGAAGCTCTCGTTCTTTTATTTGGAACACATTTTTCATGTTGCTTCATTTTTATTGCTTTTTGTGCTTGTTTTGCACATGAAGTACAGCACCCCCTCCCGCCCCCCAGTTACTCAGACTGAACTTGTGTGGGAGCTGAATCTCACTGTGCACCAGGATTGCCACAAAAACAAAAAACAACAGAAAGAGAAGGTCTAGATTCCTCCCCACACCTTCTAAGTGTCAGCCCTCCTAAGACTTCCTGGTATCCTCTTCCAATTCACAGCAAGCTCCTTCTCTCTTGCCAAGTTATCACTTTTCGTCAACTAAGCAGTTTCATGGTATGTGTCTTTAGAGAATGATTTCTTGTGTAATGTACTGGTGGGAAAACTTGGGTTTCTGAATCATCTTTCTATGGCAGGAGCAAGATTTGAAGTACTTAATTAACAGCCAGTAATTTGAGGTCATCAGATAATCAGTACAGACATCAGGCTGAACCCTAAAGCAGGGTCCTGAAGCCCACTCTGTGTTTCTTGGCCTTGACCCTTTCTTGCTGGATCACAGGAATATGGCATTGAGCAGGGTACTCAGGGAACTCAAGACAATGGCTATTTTCCAATTGAATGCCAATATTTCAACCAGTACAGTGGAACAGGTGCTACTGGCTGAACACCAGGGATGCCCCAATCCCAACACCTAGGAAGTCATGGTGAAGGTTATGAAATAAGACAAAGTTTTCTTTCAATTTTTTTTCTGCTAAAAAAAGAAAAGCAAGTCATCATTACACAAAGACAAACTCATTCAGAAGAAAATAAAATGTTCCATGATCCCATCAACCAGAGATAAGTACTATTAACTATTAATTAACAGCTAGTAATAATTATATCAATATTTTCCTTTACACTTTAAAGATAATTGAAGTAATAATATGAATTTTATTTTTATATAGATATAAATGTTTTTAGTAACATAAGCATTGTTACCAATTCCAGTAGTGAATCCTGAAGGTCTATATCCATTCTAGATAGATATTTGTCTTATTTTGTGTTGTTTTGGTGAAGGTAGGGGTTGAACTCAGGGCCTTGCATTGGACTAGGATAAGAGCTCTCCAATGAGTTACACCCCAGCTCTCTTATTTGCCTCTTAAAAAGAGGAACTCCATCAATAAATTTAAGTCCAGGAAATGGGACAGGAATAGTCTGAGTATTCTGGGGATTCTCCTATCTTTGCCCAGTGACCATTTTTTGGTTGCACCTGGCCACACGGATAGATCTTACCTTACCTTCCAATGCTAAGATCGTATATTTCTGAGATTCCATTATATTTCATTAGGCCAAATCTTTTTTTTTTCCATAAAAGAAAACTTCCAAAATTTTGAGCATGGTATGACCCATAGATGGGAAAGAATGACACCTGAATGACATGTCACCTTCACATGACCTCTGCTCTGTAGAAGAAGCTGGAATCTGCAACATAGGTGATGTCCAGAAGGAAGGAAGCATGAGATGATTCAGCAGGACAGAGCAGATGGAGTGAGAATCCACATTAAGCTGAGAATCATTAGCCAGCATCTAAACCAAGATGATTCTTTAAGGTAAAGGAAGACACAGTTACACATCAGGAAGAGTCAATGGGATGGAGCCCAATTCTTCAATAAAGGAAACAATGTTTTCCATCCAACTCAGAAAACATAATTGCCTAATTTAACAATTGCTTACTTATTTGGACAAACAATAACAAGGAAAGAGCTCCTCGAGGAGGGTATAAAAGGCAACCCTGGGCAAGGAGATCTCCAGATTCAAGAAATACACTCATTTGAAAACCCACACAGAACCTCCAACCTCTAACACCATGGTTAACTCTTGTTCTGGCTCTGTCTGCTCTGATCAGGGTGGTGACCAAGGCCTCTGCCAGGAGACCTGTTGCCAGCCCAGCTGCTGCCAGACCACTTGCTGCCGCCCCAGCTGCTGTGGGTCCAGCTGCTGCCGCCCTACCTGCTGCCAGACCACCTGCTGCAGGACCACTTGCTGCCGCCCCAGCTGCTGTAGGCCCAGCTGCTGTAGGCCCAGCTGCTGCAGGCCCAGCTGCTGTAGGCCCAGCTGCTGCAGGCCCTGCTGTGTGTCCAGCTGCTGCCGTCCCAGCTGCTGTGGGTCCAGCTGCTGCCGCCCTACCTGCTGCCAGACCACCTGCTGTAGGACCACTTGCTGCCGCCCCAGCTGCTGTGTGTCCAGCTGCTGCAGGCCCTGCTGTGTGTCCAGCTGTTGCCGCCCCACCTGCTGCCAGACCACCTGCTGTAGAACCACTTGCTGCCGCCCCAGCTGCTGTGGCAGTTCTTGTTATTGAATGTCCTGATCTGGATCTGTGAAGCTGCTTGCCTTCATCATCTCAGTCCAGGCAGAAGGCATCTATTCAACAGAACATGTGGACCTCCTGAAATCATGAACTTACGAATAGATCCATGGAGTGCTTTGGAAAACCCTCATCTATATGCTATTACTTATTCATTTTATAGAAACATTCCATTAGTAGTAATTTAGAATTTGCTGTCAAATTCTGCATCAATTTGTTCTAGAATTCCTAATTCTGATTCAAAATATAAAACTCCTCAAATGTTCCACTTTTAGATTTTTTGTTTTTAATTTTCAGTATTTTTCCGTGGGATCCATTTTCATGTCAAATTGATGTTTTTCAATAAAATTTTTTAGCATTCAGATGCACTGAAAGTGTTCATATCTCATTATTTCTTTTTTTTTTTTGGTTTGTTTCTTTTTTTTTTATTGGTTCCACCCTAAGATACCATCTCACTCCAGTAAGATTGGCAGCCATTATGAAGTCAAACAACAACAAGTGCTGGAGAGGATGTGGGGAAAAGGGTACTCTTGTACATTGCTGGTGGGACTGCAAACTGGTGCGGCCAATTTGGAAAGCAGTATGGAGATTCCTGGGAAAGCTGGGAATGGAACCACCATTTGACCCAGCTATTGCCCTTCTCGGACTATTCCCTGAAGACCTTAAAAGAGCATATCTCATTATTTCTGATAATGAAGTGGTCTGTTCATATTTCTGTCTCCTTTTCTTCATGTCAGAGAAATACATGTTATCAGAGGGACTTAAAATTGAAAAATTAAACTGGCATTCACCCATGAGATTTTTATCTAAACCAGAATTCAGTCTGACAGTAGAAATGATGACATAAAGTTTTTAATGACATAAAGTTTTATGCTAACACATGTAACATAAGAGGTATGAATTGAAATTGATGCCCCCCCCAAATCCCCCCACCAAATTATTCTGAATTGATTTAAACTGATTTAGATATAGCATAGACTATAGTTCAAGGATAAGAATTAAGACGGAATTGGAGCAATGATGTTAAATGCTGACCTCACCATTCTTCTTTAGGTGGTAATTAGTGTTACAGGTGTCAAAGTAGAACAGACATTTATTTTAAGTCTGCACATTGGTTGCTAACATTATTGCTATGCTTAACCCTTCTTTTTCTAATAGGGGCTGGAAATTGACTGGAATACTACAAGTTCACAGGGTAGAGATCCGGGTTCTGAGCAACACTCACAACTCAGCCAAATAACAGAGAACATTACTTCACACACATAAACTACCCTTTCTTGAGCTCCAATCATACTTTAATACATCAAATTGGAGAGACAAAACCCCCAGCCAACCAAGTAGAACAACTAGAGGACATCTTCTGTACATATGCTCATGTAGCATAACCCCGAGAAGTCCCTAGAAGAAAACCAACTACACACCAAATGACACATACATAAAAGGGGAAGAGGAATCCATTAAACAAATGCACAAATTCAAAACATCTGATATCATGATGAAACAGGCAAATAAATCCCCACCCACCAAATTCACAATTACCCAATTAAAAAACTCACAGATATGTATGTGGATGAAATTCCAGAGAAAGAGTATAAAAAAAAACTAATTATTAAAATGTTTAATGAACTAAAAGAAGAGCTAAATAATGAATTTAGGGAGCAAATACAGGAGGTGAAAGATCACTTCATGTATCAATATATCCTGAAAAAAAGAAAACAATCATAAATCCCAAAAACGAAAGACATATTGAATTAAATTAAAAATTCACTTGAAAGTATCATCAATAGACTAAATAGAAACCAAAAATTCATGCTTGGAAGACAGAATTTCAGGCCTTGGGTTCCAAGATGGCAGGCCAGAGGGAGGCAGCACTCTGTGTTGCTCTGTGACCTGGGGTTCAAGTTGTGAGAATATGGCTTCTCTGTGAGCAATATTCCTGCCCCCTATGCAGGAAGCACCATGCCCGTCCAGGACTCCAGCCCTCAGCATCAGAGTAGGTCTCCCAACTAAACTACTTGCCTATGCAGGACTATTGGATACCCAAGTGAGACCATCAGAGGGGGCAGCAGCACCTGCAAAGAACTGGAGCAGAAATCATGGATGCTGCTCTTACGGAGGACCCCTGGCAGCTTCCCACAAGTAGGAGCTCCAGCCACCACCCTGTGTGGACCCCCATTTGCCAACGTGGGGAATCCCTTGGTTGCCACCATCTTGGGACTCTGCAGCAGCAGACTTATCCCCAATGCACCATATCCTGCCCGCACCCAGGAACTTCACACAGGCTCTGAAGTCAGCTGACACTGCAAACCACAGAGCTTGCCACTGAATTCACCATTTAACACCATCACCAGGCTCCCTCCACCAGAGCAGACACCCCACCACTGAAAGCAGGAGCCTCCATCTTGGGTCACCTTCATCAACATCTTCCAGGTACCCAGTTTCTAACTCCCCACTCTCCCCAGTAGCCGCCAACCCAGCATAGGGACACCCTGGTTACCTTCACTATCCTGAGGGTGGAGATACCAGCTAACAACAGCCAACCCCACCTACTGAATGAGAAGGGAAGCAGGAAAGATACTGATAACTAGTATATTTAAAAAAAAAAAAAAAAAGCCTTGTGTCTTCCTTCAAAAATTTGTTTTTCTCTTTCTCTCTCTCTCTCTATTTTTTTCCCTCTCCCTCTCCTTTCTCCAACCCTCACATCCCCAACATATGTGAAACCAAGGACTTTGCATGAATTAGGATATTGAGGTCTGTGATGTCTGAATAGTATATTATGTTGTGTTTTACATTCTTTTCAGTCTTCTTTTCTTTTTTTTTTTGAACGGGATGGATTCAAACTAAAAAGCTTCTTCTCAGCAAAAGAAACAATTAGTGAAGTGAACAGAGAGCCTACAGCTTGGGAGCAGATGCTTTTCACTTGCACATAGAGCACTAATCTCTAGGGTATATAAAGAACTCAAAAAGCTAAAAACCAAAATAACAAATGACCCAGTCAATCAATGGACCAAGAACCAGAACAGACACTTCTCAGAAGGTGATATACAATCGAAAAATTGAAACAAAATAAACAACTGAAAAAAAATTGACAAAACAAAAAGTCAGTTCTTTGAAAACATAAATAAAATTGACAGACCCTTAGCCATTCTAATGAAGAAGAGAGAGAAAACTCAAATTATTAACACATGTGAAGAAAAAGAAAATATCACAACAGACACTGCAGAAATACAGAAGGTAATTAGAAATTATTTTGAAAACTTGTACTCCAATAAAATAGAAAATATCAAAAGCATTGACAGGTTTCTAGAGTCCTTGCCCAAATTGAATCAGGATGATATACACAATTTAAACAGATCAATTTCAAGTGATGAAATAAAAGACACCATCAGAAGCCTACCAACCAAGAAAAGCCTAGGACTGTAGGGCATGGCTGCCGGCTTCCTGGTCTTCAGGCCGCACATGTGGCTGGGACGGCTCCTGGCGATCAGCCAGGAGGCGGTGCTGTGGGCAGTGATGGAAGAGGCGGACCACCTCCAGGATAGGTCCAGGATGGACACCTCCTGCCTTCCCTTACAGACTATGGGATGGGTGTAACACGTGAACTTGCTCCACCCCTCTGACCTTTATTCTGATTGGCTCCTGTGCAGTATATAATCTGTGTGTACTTCCTCATTAAATGAGATCCTGCTTTGACTGTTCTCCCTTGCACGTCTGATTGTCCTCCGGCAAGGGAGGGCTGGGTGTGGGCGGCCAGTCGACCTTGACCTCTCTTGGCTCATCTTGGTTGGGGTGTGCGTTCCCCGCTTCTCCCACTGGTCAGGAGGAGATGGGGGGCTAAAAACCCCGACATCTGGTGCCCGGAACAGGGACGCTGAACCCGGACATGGAACAGGGACACGAAGGAAGTATCGGCAAGCCAAGCCACTGGAGTATCCCTGGAAAGATGGGGCAGTCTTATACTAAGTACGATGACCCAGATTGTGAAGCCATTGTTAAGGAGCCTCTTGGGTCAGCGAGTCAGTCCTCTAGCTGCCCAGGAAGAGAAAGATTTAAAACCTCACTCTGACAATGGCCTCCTAGATCCTTTTGATCCCTGGTCCTCTGGGTTCCACACCAAGTGCCCTTGTCCCAGAACACGTGGCAGAGAGTCAGGATGGGAAGCGGTGTCTGCCATATGATCACCCCTCCCCCCACGGAAATTCTCTGCCCTCTCAAAAAAAAACCCAGAAAAGCCGGGTAAGCTGCCATCTTTATGGCTTTCCTGGTAAATGCTAACCCTGGGGGCAATAGACTGGCCTTATGGTATCCCTGGGAGGCCCAAGATTTGAAAGAACTCAAAAAGGTCGTCTCCGAGGATGGACCTAATTCACCCTGGGCCAAAACCATCCTCCAGGGTCTAGCCCACCAACAGTGTACCACCCAAGTTCCAATTTGCCTTAGATGTGTGGAGAAAGCTTTAACTTTGATGTCTCCCTTTTTCTTTTTTACAAATTTTGACATCCCAGGAGCTCCCAACTCTACTTTCTTGGGGAAACCTACTACTGAAAAGTTGGGAGATATGGAGTGTGACTGGTGCCTGGGGTGGGATAAAACCAGAGGAACTAATCCTGTAAATGGGAGGAGGGACTGAGGGACTCCCAGCAGCTGCGGAAGCCCTTTTGCTTCGGGGGAACTCCCTCCTTCCTTCCCTGCACTGTAAGGATTACTCCACCTCTGTCTACTTAAAAAAGGGGGAAAAAGGGGGGACATTGAATGTAGTAATGTTTTGATATTATAGATTGTTTCTTGGGAATAATCTTGGCTGAATGTGTGTCTAAAAGATGACGTTTAATTGTAACAATCTGGTATCTGAATGGGTTTTTGAAACTTTGCACAATCTTGCAGTTAAAAGTTGGGTTTAGGTAATGGTTTAGTTTATGACTTCAGATAATTCATGCCAGAGAACTTAAATACTTAGGATGGAAAACTAAAGAACTGTACTTCCAAATTGGCAA